TCTTATCGATATAATTTGGCATTTAATAAATTAAGACAAATACCTTTAATCTACCTCTCATGGTGGAGGTGATATTTTAGAGATATACAAGTCTATAGGCATCTGCCTATGAACAATTTGTAGTATCAGTCAGTGGCGTGCGCAGGAATTTGGTATGGGGGGGGATGTCATAAATAAAAATGTATTATATTTATGTTGATGAACTAGAGATCCAAAATCCACTCGTTAGAAGACTAAAAAAAAGCCCATGGGGGGGGGGATATATCCCCCATCATCCCCCCCTGCGCACGATACTGGTATCAGTTTCAGTCAATACTGTATACGACCTACCAACGTACGTAATTCAATTAAATATGGAAACTCAGATTGGCAGTTTAAAATTGAATAAGAACTTCGAGGTTGTAAATGGGTATAAATTTGGATTTCATAAATTTTTAAAAGGAAATGTCTTACGATGGAAGTGTTCTAAAAAAGCTTTTAATAGTTACTTTAAAAATAATGATCAAAACAAAGTTGTAAATTAAGTCACTTAGCATAATTACGAAGTTGAAAATGAAGAATCATTAAATCGACAAATTGTAAGTAATGCAATAAAGCGTAAAGCATTTGATATATGTGTAAAACCATCAAAATTAATATGTACAMGACTTAAAAATGGTCCAACAAATATTACTCAACCAGGTATGCAGCTAATTCGAAAAAATATTTACAATGCTCGACAAAAAATAATACAAAAGGTTCCGTCCAATTTGACTGAAGTTTACAAGTTATTACGTAGGTAATGAAATAATTATTACTGCAGAAAAAGAAAATTTTATTACCCGATAAAGAATCAAATTCTTATATAGAAGCTATTAATTATATAAATGAAAAATGCTTGAAATTCAACCAAGAATTTTCACCGAAATATATTTATTTCGATTTTGAAAAACCATTCACAAAGCTGCAATTTAAGTATGGCCGAAAGCTGATATAAAAGGATACAGATTTCATCTGGGACAGGCATAGTAAGGTGTGCAATTATAAATTAAAAATGTTTGTTCATTTGATAATGTTTTATGAAGGTGGCGTAAGATTCAACCTCTCGGATTATCAAATGAGTATAAGTCAAACACCGTTAACGGACAATTTTTGAAACAGTTTTTGGACTTACTTTTTTGCTACCAAAAAAAATAAACGTTTTATGTACAATCTATTGACAATTATTTATCCTGCTGACAAAATGTATCAACAATTTTGCGATTATATTCTAAATAATTAAATCTCTGAAGATTCGAATTTCCCTCCTCAAATATGGACTGAGTGTTCTTCTAGTCTTCGATGAACCACTAACTCATGCGAATAATTTCATTTGAAATTTAATTCTTCATTTTATCATCCACACCCAAGCCCGTATTATTAAAAATTTCCGCCAGGGACCACATAAAATTTGCCACCCCACTCTCCACAAAAAATAAAAATAAAGATATTTTACTTTATTGATATTACACAATTGTAATAGTAAATAGTTAMATTAATATAAAATAAAACTCAGTATAATAACCAATGTATAATATTATTTAAAACAATTTTATAAAATGACACAACAATTTGAAAGATAAAAATGTTCAATTAATTTATAACTTCATA